CTAAACTGATATTGCAATAGTGAAATGGTAAGAGTTTTCAGTAATATTTCTGGATTGGTGTTCACGTTTTCCAGACATGGACGTGCTGGCCTTCAAAACTTGCAACAACTCCTCTTCCCTCCCCCTATACACACATGAGAAGACATTATATATATATATATTGATATTATTGGTAAGCTATTTCTTTTTTGCATTGAAGTTGTGAATAACATCATAAAAATTAGATTCAGGAATTCCATAGAAGGTGCTATCAATGAAAATTAATAATACAGATGCAATGATTTTACTTCTGAGTCCAGAGTTTCCCTTTTCACAAGGATCCAAGTTTCAGTGTTTCAGGTTCCAAGTTTACTAAACACTATTAATCTCTTAAGTCCATCTATTTCTCACAAGTACAGAAGCAGGAAAACAAGGACCCAGCATCTATCAGTATTAGGGCAGGAGATAAGCTGTACCATGTGTCAGAGAATGAAATGGTTAATGATTTATGCATTCTAGGAGACTTTTGCAGGCTTTTGCAGGACTTTTGAATTATACCTCTGATGGGCAGTTGGGCCCATCCTTCCCTACAGTGCTGAAGGTGTCAAGCCCTGAAAAGGCAGGAAGAGCCGAGTTTACCATGCCCTCCACATGAACTCTGCACTGGGATGTCCGAAACATTGGGGGCTTTGTTACCATGCCCCTCACAGGAACTCTGCCAATCATGAAAGGCAGGAAAAATATTGGGGGTTCATGGCACGGCCGGTGACACTATTCCATGAAAACAACTCCACGCCTCGGGGGAGGTGCAAAAGCATGCTGGGGGTATATATTAACTGGTAACTTCTTTGGGGGGTTGGGTTTTTCTTCTCCCCCACTGCCAGTGAATCAAGACCATCGCTTTCAGGATTACCAAGTTCCATCGCTGGATCCAGTGGGCAGTGACTATATACATTTTTCCACTCTCATCTTTTCTTTTTCCTTACTCTCCCTTACCCTTATCCTGTCTTTCTCTCCCTTATGCATTTCCCCCCCCCCAAGGTTATCTCTATGTCATATTGTTATATAACACCCAAAATGCTAACATACCTGTTAAAACAAAATTGTTAAAATAAACCCTACCTATATATGTTTTCAGACACTGATTATTCAGTGTCGTTTCACTCTAATCCACCCCAAGGGAATTATTGATAAGAACCTGGGTTACCCTCCTCCCCTTTTTCTGGGGCATGTCATAACACCATGCTAAAGAAATTAGAATATTGCAGGCTTTTTCTGAGGAACCGGTTTCCCAGTCTTTCTGTCTCTCTAGCACATAGCTATCATTTTCCATGCCATATGAGATTGTCTTCCCTCTCTGCCCTTAGATGCCCTTTTAGGGAGAACAAACCACAGCAAATGCTCTGACCTACACTGCGATCCCTTCCTCATCTTCTGTTTATTTATTCATTTATTTCTCCTGAGACCTTTTGGAGATCTGTGGTTGATGATGATTTGCTTGATGCAAAAAGCCTTTGCAATGTGATTCTGGAACAAATTTCATGTCACCAAGAGTATGAAAGGATGGAATTAAGTAAATTCTAAAAGAGGTGGAAGGTTTCTGTGGAAAGTAAAGTTACAGCTTTCTGTAGTATGGTTATAAAGTTATAACTAGAAAACAGGAAGGATTAAACCAATTTAAAAAATGCATTTTTGAAGAAGATTTAAACAAATAAAAAAAGGCCTTAGCAGTAGTTTTTATAACCTGAACATAAAAGTTAACTCTACTGAATATTTATTTGTGAGTTTTAACCTTTACACTAACATTATGAATGACTGGATTGTACATTACCTCCTAACCAGATAAAATGCATAATGATCTTTTTCATATTGGACACTTTTGCAGCACAGATATAAAATATTATCCTCACAGGAATAACAGAACTTTATTTTATGTTTATTTCAAAATCTGGGTATAAGCAGACAGTTATAGGTCCTCATATTTGCAAACATCAGAAAGTATGTAGGAGAGGAACAACTTTTAACTCACCTAGTGGCTACTCCTTGTCCTGGTATAATAAATGCATATGAAAAGTGTCCCATAAAATATTCTTGTAATGCAATCTTCATGCCTGCCTTAAGCTTTTAAATCCCATTGTAGAGCTAGCAACTTCCCAGATTAGGTTGTCCCAGTTCTCTATTCATACCCCATCCCTCTGACTCTTTCTGATGACCCATGATTGATGGATCTGATGCAACAACAGAGTTGACTTGTCAGATCTTTACCCAGTAAAAAAAAAAGTTAGTAAGGAATTATGTGTCATAGCATACCTTCCTGTGTCCTTGTCACGTGAAAGGGGGGAGATATGCCCAACCCTTAGAGAGAGGGGAGATTTTCTCAACCCACAGAGATTTATTTGTCTGTTAGTGCCCCAGGGAAAATGAAACCATTTATGTCCAACCCAATCTGACAGGTATCCTGCACTGGAACCCCTCACCAAACAGATTCACAAGATTGGGGTAATTCAATTTCCCTTTTTTGGACACTGTCACATACCAGCATTAGGGAGAACCCCTCAGCAGGTCTTACCACGTGTTATTCCACCACTGGCAAACTGTCAGCACCTTATAAAGGACTCACTTAGAACAGCTGGGACCAGCTCATCACTGTGTGGGTGTAACCCAAAACTGTGTATTCTATACCCTTCCATGCCATTTCCCAGAAACTGTTAACAATAAACCATTTACAGCAGCTGCCCAGAGCACACCTGACCCCTCAGGCTATAAGCTGGGTGTTAAGAGACCTGTGAGATAGGAGGATGCTCCTGTCCTCACACCCATTGTGGAACTCCCCGCCCTGAGGGAGGTACTGGGCATTCCTGCCTGAACCTGAGGATATATAATCTTGGGGTCTTGGGACTTCTGGTACCTCTTGTGGGATCCAGAGAAGGACCGGAACTTAGACTCTCAACCAGACTGAGACCATCACTCTCAACCAGACTGCGACCACCACTCTCAACCAGACTGCAATCACCACTCTTGACCAGACTGCAACAGCACTCCCAACTGGACTGCGATCACCACCCTCAACCAGACTGCAACCAGCACTCTCACCAACAGGTTTTCCCTCTCCTTTTACTTTTGGACTCAGGGGGACCACGTGGGGCTCAGCACAGGGAGGGGACCCCAATGAACACCACTCTGTTCATGCTCCAGGGTACTGGGTTATACATTTGGGTTTTGTCGGTTAAAACCAATTGTTTGTCTGTGTAATTGTATTTATTGTATTATTTTTATTAAATTGTTATTCTGACTTATAATCTCTTTTGAGTTGCGTTCATTTCCCCTGCGGGTTAACCTTTAAACCAGCACACAGTTATATTTTCAAGGAAGACCCAAACACACATCAAAACAATCTCCATGTACATATCTTAAGACAACAAATAATCTGGCATTGTTCTAGGTTAGTGAGGATTCCCAAAATCACAAACCTTGAGACACATGTAAGCAAAGCAACTTTATCCTATTATTTGCAATAGCATTCAATACACACCAACCCCTGAGTTCCTGAAAAACCACTGAGCAGAGGAAGGAGATGGAACATGGTACATGGTGGGAGGGGCAGGCAGGCCATGCACCTTCAGGGTGCCCCCTGGATCAAAGCGGTGTGCATCTCATTCTCCTCACCTGTCCAACCCAGAACCACCTCCTATATTCTCCTCACCGGAGTGGCATTTTCCAACTGTGACATCGGCTCACGTGTGACCACTGCACAAACTGGAATCACCATGGCTTATGATACCAACTTCGTGCCAACAACGACTCTTGTATCTTTTCCAAAAGTCAAGTTCCCAACAGCAAAACCATACAATATTTTCTCATGCCACATCGACGAACACAACCACAGACCCACTACAACAGGGTCTCAGACATGACTCCGGTCCCTGACACAGGCATAAATCAATCAATCAATCTGAAGTTTTAACCCTTTTTTCTTTGTATTCACCAATTTTAATATTATTCTTAACCTTTTTCTTTAAATCTTGACTATGGCATTGTAGTGGGTCTGGCTGAGCCGGAATTTATTTCCCCATAGTAGCCCTCACAGTGCTGTGCTCTGCATTGGTACCTAGAGGAGTGTTGATAACACACCCATGTTTTGGCTACTGCTGAGCACAGCACTGTAACATTCCTTCAATCAGGGCAAGATCCTGGGAGGGGACACAAGTAGACCAGCTGACCGACACTGACCAAGGGGATATTCCATACCGTATGATGTCAACCCAGATATAAAAGCTGAGGCAAGGAGCAGGACTGGAGGCATTCATTGTCTCTGATGGCAACCTGCTGACAACCGTTACGCGTGCTGGAGCCCTGCTTCTCAGAGAAGTGGTCGACCATTGCTGCTTATGGGAAGTAGAGATTAACTGCTAGCTTCTGCTTTGTGCGCGCGCACGCTGCTTTTGCTTTCTTTTTTGCATAAATATAAACTGCCTTATTGCAACCCACGATTTGTGTTGTTTTCTTTTCCCACCTTACTCTCTCCCCTGTCTGGCTGGGAAGGGGAGGGATAGAGCAGCTGGGTGGGCACCTGGGTTTCAGCCGAGGTGAACCCACCACAGGCATGTGTGTGAGGGCACCTAATTGCACACATGTACCTAGGACTTGGTGTTTCTTGGTTTAAAACACAAAACACACTGTATAAATAACTTCCCTTTTTTAAAGTTACCAAAAAAGAAAAGTTATAGGCACTTAAATTATCAAATAGATTCAGTGGTTCCAATGCTGTGTGTCCATTCTTCAGAAGATTCATGCATTCAAGCTCTCCCCCTTTTTTCTCTTTTTCTTTGCATCCAAGCTCTCCCCTCTTTTTTTTTCTCCTTCCTCTCTTTGTGTCCATTCTCTTCTTCTTCTATTTTGTAGTTGAAATTTAGACCTGACACGTTGGCATGTTGGAGGGCTCGGAGGTTCAGAGAGAGAGAGAGAGAGGGAGGGCCGCCTCGGTGGTGCGCGGTGTGGAGCGGGGATGGGGGGGGGAAAACGGAAAAATCTGGTATGAAGAACTGCCCAGAGACTTTTGATCTTTGAGCAGCAAAGGTATTTATTGACAGCGCTGGGAGCAAGCCAGCTCACGCTGGAAAAACTTGCTCGAAGGTTTCACACAAAATGAGCAGTTTTTATACAATTTTCATATATGATTAAGTGCATATTCATGTGATTACAACATCTATCTATACATATTAATAACAGGCAGAGTATAGGTGGAGCTCAGACGGGGCTTGGGGTGGTACTTCTCTTGGCCCTCAATTTTGGTGGTACATCCGCTCTTCCTCCCATGGGTCTGGGGGCTAATTCTCATCTTCCTCAGCCTGACCTCTCTTCTTTTCCATTGTTCTCAACCCGCTCACTGAAGCTTGGAGAAAGGCTTGGCTCCCGGCCTGTTTCTTCTATTCAAATGTCTACTTTATCTTACTGCATCTTAATTTATTACCCCTAAGCCTATTCTATGTTTCTTTTACCATTCTTTTAAGTTTTGGTCCAGTAGGTAGAACAGAATGAGTACAGCTCGTTTAGATGTTCATAGCTTGTTAGCAGGCCCAAATTTCTCAGTTAACTCTTTTGAGCCTGGCCTCCTGTTTCAGGGGGAACAACCAGGTCCTGATTTTTTTCTCTCACTGCTGCTGCTGGCACTGCTGCTCTGGTTCCCCCACTGCGGGGGGGATGAGGGGAAGTGACCGGAAGCCAATTCCTTGGGCCACCACTTGGCTTCCGCCGCCCTCTGTGGATCCTGCACGGCGACCCAGCCCCAGTGTGGCCCTGGTACAGGTTTCTAAATGATCCCAGAGCATATTCCAAGGCTCCTGCATCCACCTGGGATGCTCAACCTCCAGGACCCCCATCCCGGGGTTTAAAAACTTTTGCTAACTCATGCTCGTTCCTCAACCCACAGCTCCCAGCACGCTAACATGTAATAGCACTTGACTCAGGAAGAGTCTCGTCGGATGGCAACCAGCCAACACTGTGCACACCAGCACTGTAGGGTCCAAGAAAAAAAACCCTGTTTAACAGATAAGATATTACGGTACCATTAACAACACCTCGAGCTCACAACGACACAATGGACAAACAACACAACTAGCACGAGAACGACAAAAGCATGGGGTGACAGCTACAGTCTTTAGCCTGCCCTCCCCACAAAAACAGCAGCGCAACCCCACAAGCTATGCACTCCACTTGTGGGTATTGCTTTTTTCCGCAATAAGTGGCACAACTCTACAAGCTGTGCACCCCATTTGCAGATTCCACTTTTTCCCCAGCAAAAATGTGTTTCACATTCGGCATACCATCCTCCTTGCTAAAATTATGTAGCAGGGAGATTGCTGAAACTGAAACCGGTACACCGTTGAAAGTTCAACAAAACAATATTTATTACAAAGAAGTAGCCAACAGAATGAGAAGCCGAGAGACAGGAAAGAGAAGGGAAACAAGCCCCCAAGACAACCCCCCACTCACTCAGGCCTTATTTATGAGGTTGTCTTACCAACCCCAGAATGCTTAGAATTCCCCATAGCAGAAACTGCATCCTCAGAGCATCGGCAGGCTCACAAAATGGCAGGTGTCCTCACCAAGGCAACATTGTCCCCCATGTGAAGCTTGAGTCTGCTCCCAGCAAGAGCTATCTGCTTTTTATACAATTAACCTATGACGTCTACCTGGGCAAGTGTGGCCAGCACTGCCCAGCTAGAGGCCTTCAGTCCCTTGGTGCCCCTTCTGCGCATGTGTGTGTACACTGGAATTTCCCTGCGCCTGCATGCTACACCTCAGGGGGGTCTTTCCTAAATGAGTCGAGGGGCTTACTTCATCATCCTCCTCTTCACTTTCTCCTTCAAATGCCCTTGGAGGGCCATCGGCCAATAGCCAGGCCCCAATTAATTTCAGTTTATGCTTTCTTCAGATGCTTCCTTCAAGGACGAAGTTCTCGTTTATCAGTGCTTGTTTTCTCATAACTTGTCAGGAAAAGAACAGACTGTCACAGGTCGCTGGGTCAAACACAGACCAAAGGGAGCAGCATCTAATTAAGCATGAATACACCCCCAGGAAAGAAAACCTGTAGCCTTTGGGTGTCAGGTGCAGGTGGTGGACCACCCTGGTGAATCCAAAAAATCAGTCCGAGAAACTGCTCAGAGACTTTTTATCTTTAAGTAGCAAGGTACTTGTTTATTCAACATTGGGAGCAAGCCAACTCGCGCTGGACAAACTTGCTCAACTTGCAAGTGCAAAACTAAGTCATTTTATACACTTTAGAAACATAGTTACATCATTTATTATACATATTAATATGTAGGCTACTCTCTGGGCGGTGTCTTTCCAGATATGCGCAGTCTTCTACTGTGGGGGTCTTCTGCTCAAGCCTTCATCCCTCTGGTGGTCACCATGGACGTCTTCCTCAATTTGACCTCTTCAATTAGGTGACCTGAATTCTTCAAGCTTGCAAAATCCTGGCTCTGGGCCTTCTAGATCTTATTCAAATGTCTAGTTTACCTAATTTATTACTGCGTGTGTACTACTCCTATTCTTTCTATAATAAGGCCTTTGGTCCAATGAGCAGAACAGAACATGATATTAACCAGTGCTCTTAAAATGTTCTTCTAGCAAAACAGGTATTGAGGTTTCTTAGCAGGCCAAGATATCTCAGTTAACTCTTTTAGGCCTGGCTCCTATTTCACTGGGCACTCCATGAGCAGAAAGAGCTTTCAGTCCTGGCACCTTTTGTCTGGGAGGAATCGTTGTCTTTATTCAGTTTTTGGAGTTGGACTGACAATTTTAGAGCAGGGCTCCTGCAAGCGGGTGACAGCGCTGTCGCCCAGGTAAGAAAGGCCTTACACTCAGGGTCTCAGGTCCAGGTGGATGACCAGCGACAGCACCACACGAACAGCAAGACCTTTCTGTCCTGACACCATATGTCTGGGAGGAATCTTCGTCCACGTTCAATTTTGTGAGTCAGACTTGCAATTTTGGCACAGGGCTCCTGCAAGCCAGTGGCAGCTCTTTCCCCCAGGAAAGAATGTCCTTAGTCTCAGGGTCTCTGGTGCGTGTCATAGATTTACTTGTTCTGAAAAACCAAGCAGGGAATTTTTCTTTCCCCTGCATCGCTGTAAAAGAAAGATGTTGAACGGGAGAGGGTAGTTTGCCTTGGGTGATCGACCCACACAAAAGAACTAGCCAGCAGATCCACATTCCAAGCTGATGGCCCTCCAAAGACTGTGGGGAGGGGTGAAGAGTTGTTTTTTTTCTCTCTTCAGAAACGGGAGGCACTTCACTTTTGCCCTGACTGAGGGGAGGGTATGTATAGAAAGACTCTGGGTTCACTTTGTTTGTTGGCCGGGTCATCTGGCTGCTTCTGGTCCCGGTTTGCCTCTTCTCTTTCTCCCTGTTATGTCCCCAGCCCAGACTTGCTCAGATTTCATCAGAGAGGCTTGACCCTTCTGCGAAGGAACCTTTGGGGCAGTCAGCTGCTGACAGCGTGAGTTTGCAGGAGGAACCCCTTTTTCCCCCTTTTCGCCTTCCCCTTCTCGGTGGGGGGGGGAGATCTCCATTTTTGGCTTCTCCTGCACATTGGGGGCCCCACGCGGTGATCGCCAGAGCCCAACAGCGCCCCCTGCTGACTACTGCAGAGCAACTGCAGGCTCTGCTCCTCCAGTGATCCAACAGCGCCCCCTGCTGATCGTGGTTAGAATTGCGCCAAAAGATGGAAAGTACTGAACTGTTTCCTTTTTGAAGGGGACTTTTGGGTACAGGATTATTGTTTAGTTGTTTTTGTGTTCTTTTGTTGTTCTTCCAATACACATATATCCTTTAATAATGGGCTGGTTTGTTTTTTTTCTTTCTCCGTACTTCCTCAATTGGAGCCTCTTAATTTCAATTGCTTAGAGGGAGGAGCTTGATCTTCCTCATAACTCATCCTCCTTAGCAAAACATTTCAGTCTCATTAAACTGAGACAGTGTGGGTTGTGGACCACGCACTGCTCTCCATGGGCAGCAAGACCTCTCTGTCCTGGTATATTTTGTCTCAGAGAAATCTTTGGTCATATTCAATTTTAGGAGTTGGATGGGCGACCTCGGGGCAGGGGTCCTGAAAGCGAATGACAGACCTTTCCCCTAGAAAAGAGAGCTTGTAACCTTTGGGTCTGAGATGCAGAGGGTGGACCACTCAAAACACTGCACAGGTGTAACAACCAGATAATATAGAAATGCCAAAAATAATGTCTCGTCATTGTTTCTGCCTGTCAAAACTTCCTACCAAAACTTCTCTGTCAGCTTTCTGCCAGAAGCTCTCACCACAGCTTCCTGCTGGAGTTTTCCTGCCAAAAGATCCTGCTATTGTTTATGGTTATCATATCTCTTCAAACATCTGAATAGGGCTACGTGCCAAGAAACCACGTACAACCTCCTTTGAACACTATAAAAGTTGAGGAACAATTTCAGAAAATTAGGGAGAGGAAAGGGAGAGAGAACTAACTAGTTAAAGTAACCAAACATCTCTCCCCCCTCTCTCCCTCCCCACTTTCTCCACCACCGCATGTTGCCTGCCTGCAACCAGAGACTGAAACTCTGCCGACCTGGAGAAGAACTGAAACCCATCATGCCACATGCATGAGTTATATCTTATCCTTCTAGCCTTACCATATTTCTGATGGCTGAAAGGTGTTGCTGAATCGGGACCCTGCATGGCCTGGGACACAACTCAACGTGAGTGGCAAGGCCACACATCCTGGCTGCATTCATGAGAGCTAAAGCTGCTAAGACACCCCCCCAGCTAAAGAGATAACATTGCAAAGCAGCAGAGACAGAGAAAAAAAAGAGGCAGAAACTGCTTCTCCCTGCCCCACACACACCAGCTCAGGAGAAAGGTATGTGGTGGTATCTTTCCTATGCTTCTAGAAGTAATCTTAGCATTTTCCAGCCTTTTCTTATATTTTCCTCTTTCTCTTTGCATCTCTTAGTAATTAATAAAATCAGTTTTTGGTATCAACGGATAACTTGTGTGAGTTTGAATTTTGCTCTGGGGAATATTCGAATCTGAAGTTCTTTCTGCAACATTTAAGCAGATTGTAACATTTTTTATTGGTGTCACCTGACAGGATTCCCTTGAAGCAAAACTGTTCATTCCAAAACCTGATAATTGCTAATTTTTATGACCGATCATTTTGTGATAGACAGTGTAAGGTACCTTCCTTTTTGACTTTATGACTGTATGACTTCAGGACTTTGACTTTACAACTTTAGGACTATTTTGTTTGGTTTTTAGTTTTTGGTTTTATTTTATATCACTGAAGTTAATGTGCACATTGTAACTTTCAAGAGGTACCTCTCCAAAGTGATGAGTGAATCTTTGGGAAATTTACTGTAACTTTATTGGGTGCCCTTTGGAGAAGTTTTCACTCTGAGTTTGTGATGTAACTTAGTGCTTTCCAGGGAGAATTAGGTGAAAGTTTGGAAATTAATTTTTACAAGGTGCCCCCCAGATAATCTCACCTCGCTTTTGGTTGTAACGTAACTTTTACAAGGGGCCTTTCCAGGGAGAGGAGTGAAAAACTTTGGAAATTATCT